AAAGGATGGTAGTTCACGAGCAGCACAGATTTTAGTGCGGGTGTGAGTGTGAGTGGGTGTGGGTGTGAGTGTGAGTGGGTGCGGGTGTGAGTGTGAGTGGGTGCGGGTGTGAGTGTGAGTGTGGGTCTCCTCTTAACCGACACCCAAACCTCACATCCATGCCCCACACCCACACAACCACACGCTCACACCCGCGTCCACATTCCTGAACAAAAAAAAATGGATTCTTCTACTTTACATCTTTTAGAATTTAAATGCGCTTGGTCAGTCAACCTATTCAAATTATTTATTTTTAAATTTTCCGGATTAGATTTTTATTTCTTAATGAAATGAATAAATGAGAGAAGAGAAAATAAGCTAATCAGAAAAAAGAAAATTATCGTGTTCAGTTCATTCGGTTACATGAATTCGCTGGCAATAATCGTATTTACTTGTTCTGTAATCTCTTTCAATAATGATGATGTATCGTTTTGATCCAGTTTGACTGGTTTAACTTGACTTTGTTTCTTATCAGCTATATAGATTTTTTCGATGTTTTCTATCATTGTTTTCACGTAGTCGGTGAAATCGGATAGTAACAGAAAGATTCCACGATTTTTTATTTCATTAATTAGATCTATCATTAAAGGAACATCCGGTAAGCCGCTAAGATAGCTATCCCACCCAGAACCTCCATTATGACAAAACGACGTACGTCTAGGACAATCACCGACCCACACTAAAATCTGTGCTGCTCGTGAACTACCATCCTTTTTCCAACTGAATTTCAATGCTTTATCTAATCCACCTTGAACATCTTCACATAGATCGGCACCACCAGTAGCTTGTTGACTAGCAATTTTGGCTTCAACTGGATGAATATTTGGCGCCTGATGGATATCGATAGTATCAAAACGGTTTGAGTCGTTAAAATCTCGATAGGCAACAAATGCCATTCCTAGAACACTATTTTTGTCGAATTTCTCTTTCATATCTTTCTGTATTCTATCGTCAATGGCTTTGATATATCTTTAACAAGCTTCAATCGAACTTTCCCTTGAATCCGTACAATTCATCACGAAACAAATTTCAACGGTTAGTGGTGTATTATGAACATTGGTCGAGAATGTTAAATCAATTGTACGTTTCGTATTTTGCGTGATAGCATCAAAATGTGTTTTCATTTCTTCATTCCATACTTGTTCTGTCGATGAATAGACCTTATTATCATCCCCAATAAATGTTGATGTCGTATCTAAATGGCTTTATGTAAGTTCGCCAATCTGGAATTTCGCCAACAGTATATTCACCATTGGCGAAATTCCCCACGAAATTCGCCAATTGGCGAATCTCTAGTATGAAATTCGCCAATTGGCGAATCTCTAGTATGAAATTCGCCAATAAATATTTATTTTTGCCTTAGTATATTCGCCAATTGGCGAACGTCGTGGAGAAATT